ATGCAAGGTTCACCCCTTACAATTTGAGATTTTTCATAAACATTTAAATTTGCCCAATTTTACTAAAAAAGCAAGGTTAACCCCTTACAATTTGAAATTTTTCATTACATCTTATTTTGCCAAATATCACTAAAAAAGCAAGGTTAACCCCTTACAATCTGAAATTGTCCAGAAAGATCTGATTTTGCTCAATTTCGCTAAAAATACAAGGTTCACCCCTTACAATTTTTGATTTTTCATATAAATCTGATATTGCCCAGTTATGCTAAAAATGCCAAGTTAACCCCTTACAATCTGCAATTTTCAAGAAACATCTGATTTTTCCCAATTTCGCTTAAAAAAAGCAAGGTTAACCCCTTTCAATCTGCAATTTTCCAGAAACATCTGATTTTGCCCTAATTTGGCAAGGTTAACCCTTACAATTTTTGATTTTTCATACAAATCTGATTTTGCCCAATTTTGCTAAAAATGCAAAGTAAACCCCTTACCATCTGAAATTTTCCATAAACACCTGATTTTGCCCTATTTTGCTAAAATATGCAAGGTTAACCACTGACAATTTGAAATTTTTCATAAACATTTAAATTTTCCCAGTTTTGCTAAAAATGCAAAGTTAACCCCTTTCAATCTGCAATTTTCCAGAAACATCTGATTTTGCCCTTATTGGGCAAAGGTTAACCTCTTACAATTTTTGATTTTTCATACAAATCTGATTTTGCCCAATTTTGCTAAAATTGCAAGGTGAACCCCTTACAATCTGACATTTTTCATAAACACCTGATTTTGCCCTATTTTGCTAAAAAATGCAAGGTTCACCCCTTACAATTTGAGATTTTTCATAAACATTTAAATTTGCCCAATTTTACTAAAAAAGCAAGGTTAACCCCTTACAATTTGAAATTTTTCATTACATCTTATTTTGCCAAATATCACTAAAAAAGCAAGGTTAACCCCTTACAATCTGAAATTGTCCAGAAAGATCTGATTTTGCTCAATTTCGCTAAAAATACAAGGTTCACCCCTTACAATTTGAGATTTTTCATATAAATCTGATATTGCCCAGTTATGCTAAAAATGCCAAGTTAACCCCTTACAATCTGCAATTTTCAAGAAACATCTGATTTTTCCCAATTTCGCTTAAAAAAAGCAAGGTTAACCCCTTTCAATCTGCAATTTTCCAGAAACATCTGATTTTGCCCTAATTTGGCAAGGTTAACCCTTACAATTTTTGATTTTTCATACAAATCTGATTTTGCCCAATTTTGCTTAAAATGCAAAGTAAACCCCTTACCATCTGAAATTTTCCATAAACACCTGATTTTGCCCTATTTTGCTAAAATATGCAAGGTTAACCACTGACAATTTGAAATTTTTCATAAACATTTAAATTTTCCCAATTTTACTAAAAAAGAAAGGTTAACCCCTTACAATTTGAAATTTTTCATACACATCTTATTTTGCCAAATTTTACTACAAAAGCAAGGGTAACCCCTTACAATCTGAAATTTTCCAGAAAGATCTGATTTTGCCCAATTTCCGCTAAAAAATGCAAGGTTCACCCCTTACAATTTGAAATGTTTCATAAACATCTAAATTTTACTAAAAATGCAAGGTTAACCCCTTACAAGCTGCAATTTTCCAGAAACATCTGATTTTTCCCAATTTTGCTAAAATGTAAGGTTAACCCCTTGCAACTGTTAAATCAATACATGAAGTGTCCCAATTGAATTTTTTAAAACAAATTATTTTTCCAGTTTTTAGGGTAAAGGAATTTTCTCTTTTTTTCCTTTCTCTTTTGTTGTTGCTATATTTTGTGAATTAACTCATTCGTATGGAATGCTCATAGTCAATCAAAGAATATTTCACACATAGGGCCTAAATTATATATTTTTAAATTTAATAGAGACGCATTGATCGTGCTATCATATACCATTCTAATACCATTGCGAACTACTGTATTGTTTGGAATGCTCACAATTAAAGACACGTTATTTGAAAGATGTATAAATAATATTTATATTACAATGTACATCTTTATTCTTTCCCGGTATAATTTATGGCGTTTCTTACGTCAATTGGCAATCGCGTCATTATATAATGATAGTCAAATTGATCAAACGAAACTCCGTTTTGATTATAGTCAATTATGAAATATTCATTGATTTATGACATACACCTTTGTTTCAATTTTGATACTACCCGTAGACCTGCCGAGCAGCTGTAGATATCAAACTAAACCAAAGTATAAAAGATAGAGTGTAAAAAAAATCAAAAAGTTATGTGCTAGTCAAGCTTTCAGGGATCGGTCTGAGCCATAACAATGCCCCAGCCGATCCCTTAGTTCTCTTCCGGGGTCTCGGCGTCCCCGACCAATACACACTTCCTTCCCTATCCATCCATATAACCCCGGAGGGCCAGGCACCATATAAAAGCAAAGAGCTAAGGGAGGAACAGGGCGGCCCCTAAGCCCTGATCCTCCGAGTGGACCACATGCCCTGAACCTGTACGAAGGCGCCAACCTGGAACTCGCGGACAGTACCAGCAGCAGTGCTTACCGATTAAGCTAAGGTACTGTTGGTACTTTACGACGGGAAATTAAATCTCTTATAGTGAATAATTGAACTCATTCGTTAAAAACCAAAAAGACACCAGCGGGATTCGAACCCGGGACCCCGCTAACCGTGGACGACGAATCGTAACCACTCGGCCATTTCGTTACCTTAGAATGTTACTTAAACTGAGAAAAGTTGTCTTTATAGGTGAGCAAACGCGCCAGGAAGATTACTGGGTCCATTTGCTTTACCTTAATGGGTAAAAACAAGTCGATATAATGAGCCCAGTGTGTTTGGTTTGTTAGGAAGCTGCATAACACAGCCTAATGTGCAAAACGGTCGTGTGCTAGGCGGATCATTACGCAACAATGAACACCGCAATTGTGTATTTTCAAAAGGCAGACGCGTAGATTTCTACTCTTTGTATCTGGGCACATATAGATTCTCACCTCCCTCTTCAGCTATTTCGACTTTCTTAAAAAGAAAAATAGAGACTGTCAGCGAATCTCCGGGAGTTGAAATAAGGATCGTCCCCTCGATAGACCTCAGACTCAGTAAAGTTCAACATTGGGCTCATTTTCAACAGCTGTTTTTGTGGAAACTTTACATCTGGATTTTTTAGAAGCATCTGATTTTTTCCCAATTTTAGTAAAATATGCTCTAAATTTTGCTAAAAAAGCAAGGTTAACCCCTTACCATTTTAGATTTTTCATACAAATCTGATTTTGCCAAATTTTACTAAATATACAAGGTACACCTCTTACAATTAAAAATTTTTCATCAACATTTCTTTTTGCCCAATTTTGCTAGAAATACAGGGTTAAGCCCTAACAATCTGCAATTTTCCAGAATCATCTGATTGTGTCCTATTTTGCTTTTAAAAAAAATGCAAGGTTAACCCCTAACAATCTGCAATTTTCCAGAATCATCTGATTGTGTCCTATTTTGCTTTAAAAATGCAAGGTTAACCCCTAACAATCTGCAATTTTCCAGAATCATCTGATTGTGTCCAATTTTGCTTTTAAAAAAAATGCAAGGTTAACCCCTTACAATTTGAATTTTTTTCATGAACATCTAATTTTTCCCAATCGTATTTAAAAAGCAAGGTTAACCCCTTACAATCTGCAATTTTCCAGAAACATCAGATTTTTTTCCCAATTTCGCTTAAAAAATGCGAGGTTAACCCCTTATAATTTGAAATTTTTCATAAACATCTGATTTTGCCCAATTTCGCTAGAATATGCAATGTTCACCCCTTACAATTTGAAATGTTTCATAAACATCTAACCCCATACAATCTGCAATTTTCCAGAAACATCTGATTTTTCCCGATTTTGCTTTAAAAAATGCAAGGCCAGTTAACCCGTTACAATTTGATTTTTTTTCATAAACATCTAATTTTGCCCAATTTTACATCTGGAATTTTTCAAACAAATTATCAGGTAACTGGATCATTAAACGGGACAGGTGCACATCGGCCTTGGAGCTCAGACCATGTGTCATGCACTCCTCAATGCATAGATGATGCACATAACACTATGGGTAGTACAGGCACAGCTGGGTGTACTGCCCAAACAATGATGAACGCATTGCGTATGCTTAAAGAATTACCCACAATTCCGGTTTTTACCGTTTAGGTCTGGCTCTTATCACTTTACGCGATCCCCTGACGTCTCATACACTGACTTTAGGCAAAATAGTCAGACTTTTGCGGTCTAGTAACCAGACTTTGACTCTTAACGAAACATCGAATGAAAAGGGAAACATCAAATGCATATTGCAAAAGATCGAATGTAAACACACCGATGAAACATCGAATACAAATAGCTCGAAATGTGAAACATATGTGTAAACATTGCTCACATATTTGAGAATATCGCAAATATATTGTAAAACAACACACACAATTGTATCGAAAAACATCGCACATTTAATGCAAAAAATCGAACATAATATTGAAAACATCGCACATATAAATTGAAAATCGCATATAAATGTAAAACATCGCACACATATATTGAACATCGCACATATATTGTAAAACATCGCACAAATATATTAAACATCGCGCAAATAATGAAAAACATCACACACTTATATTGAACATCGCACATAAATGTAAAAGATAACAAACACATATTGAACATCCAAAATATATATTGCAAAATATTGAATATTGCACCGTTGGACACGCCACAGCTAGCTAGCTGCAGACAACATGACTGAGGTTGGCATAACTTTTTCTCCCTCACAAGAAAATTCGCCAGGAAGGTTGAAACAGTTGGTGGCGCTCTCTATAGAGTTTATCCTGCTGTTGTGCTTTTTGTAGCGCACATTTAGGCTATGCGTTTTTCAGTACACGTAATATTGCCTCTGGCATTTTTAAATCGCCCAATTTAGCTGTTTAGAGCGCAAAGCCTGCATGTGCTACGTCAGCAGGCGACGGATACACGTACGTACGTCCGTACGTACGTACATAGCATATGCGCCATACAGCTAGCGCGGCACTAGCATCTAGCACACTGCAGCAAGATGGCCGATGCAAGCAAGAACGATTGTCATGCAATTTTTAAACGCCTTCATTCCATACCAACCAATAAGGTAACTTTATGAAAATATTTACTGTGGTTTATATGACTTTATAAATTCAAGCCCGAAATTCATGCTCAAAATGAACTCAAGAATGACTAGAAAATTGGTTTAGTCGTTGAACATATTGCATGAGTCGTAGTACAGCCTTCGTGAAGTTAAAAAGGGGCACATCGTCCTGAAATCACAGAGAATTGTATTTTTTAGATTGTTTATTACGTGAGTATGTCATGAGGTGTAGTACCAGAGTTTGAGGGCAAACTGTGCAGCGGTTCTGTGGGAAATATCTGCATTTTGATGGACGTTTTTGTACTTGGGCCCCTAATTGGAAAAATTCTGCCAACCGGACACCACTTTTTTCAATAAATTTTCTAGCGCCAAAAGTTACCTCTTTTATGGTTATTCCCTCCACTTTCCCTCCTCTACTCTCACCCCCTCCTTTCCTTAATTTATATTTATCAATCAGTCGCTCACTTCTTCGAAATTCGAACCTCGAACACTTGCTTGATACACGAGTCTCTTAACCGCTAGGCCGCGCACGATCGCTGTTGCAATGATCAATCTTTGGACGTATTTGAAGTATCCATTGAAATAAACTAAATATTCATGAGAAAATAAATATTCATAATGACGTATTGCACTATCATTGGCCGGCTCATGCGACGTCTCATGCGACGTCATGGTTATCGATGTCATGCGTACAACGTACCGCTGTTCCAGACACTTAAATCAGTTTTGACCGGCTGCTTCAACTCAGATCTGCACTACATGTGCATGCAAAATGTGCTCCAAAAACACATTTTTACCAATTTTTTTTCGCATGTCCACTCTTTCCTGGATTCCTCTTGGTTGAAATCACAAGGTGAGGTGAAAATTTGGATGTTTGGCGGCAGGTAAGTGGTGTCCGGTTGGCAGAATTTTTCCCCCTAATTTAGTAATTAGTGTTTTGTGCTGAAAACAATTTTGCGGGGTTCTTCATCTATGAGGCTCCATTAGTCCGAGTTACTTGGACCCAACTTATCGCCTTTTTTAACATTTGGACATGGTCTGGCGATAGTAAGGTCCAAGCTAATACCGCGAGCTGGACAACACCGTCCCAAAAACCAACATTTTCCAACAAAAAACATCAGATTTCACCCTCAAAACGGCCTCCAAATTACTAGATATGCGCACTCGGTAACGGAATCGCACTCGGGATACGGGGACCATCGAATGTACGCTGGGCATGAAGAAGAAATCGCGTCGTTCAAACATTAACAGTAGTCGGAAATTTAACGTGTTCAAGATCGCGAGGGGAGCTCTCAGAATTGAACGGGAAATTTCACTTTTCTTCCGGATCGTAAGTAAACTTCAGTACAACCATCTTAATCATTAATGTCTACTTGTACTTCAGGTGGCATATCTAGTAATTTGGAGGCCTTTTTGAGGGTGAAATCTGATGTTTTTTGTTCGAAAATGTTGGTTTTTGGGATGGTGTTGTCCAGCTCGCGGTATTAGCTTGGACCTTACTATCGCCAGACCATGTCCAAATGTTAAAAAAGGCGATAGGTTGGGTCCAAGTTACTCGGACTAGAGGCTCCACTACGAGGAGCCTCATAGTTCTAGGAGTAGGTTTGATTTTTTGAGGGAAATTTGTAGTCCCAGTAACTAGGACTCTACGGATCGCTTTTTTAACGTTTGGACATGGTCGGGCAATAGTACTATCGCCCGACCATGTCCAAATGTTAAAAAAAGCGATCCGTAGAGTCTTAGTTACTTGGACTAGGAAATATGGGGGTAAAATGACGATGACAGCGCGGCGACAACACGCAACCCAAAATAAAGATGGTGATCACCGCGCGATGTACCGTGAGCACGCACGGTGCGCTGAATCGCAAGGCACAAACCACGCAGGAAAATCATGATTTCTACCCCAAAAATCTGTTCAAAATTGCAAAAGGGTTGTCCTTAGAATTGAGAAAAGTCTGCTTTTGATTGTAAAGGTGATTTTTGAGCAATAAAAAAACATTTTTGACTCTAATTTGATCAAAACAAAACAGGGGCCCTATACTTCACGATCGCCCATTTCCTGGCATTCCTGTGACAGTCTGGGATAGACCCGTGAACATGGCATCAATAACGCCACGCGTAACTGTGATAAAAACTTTCAACGTGTTCAAATTTAAAATAAGATGAAGATAATTCCCAAATAAAATCATTGCTTTTCCTGTTTTTTTTTTTTTTTTTTTTTTTTTAGTGCTGCTTTGACTGCAACAGCAAGAATTCCTCCTGGGCCAGTGTGACCTATGGCGTCTTTCTCTGCATTGAATGCTCGGCAGTTCACCGCTCCCTTGGTGTCCATCTCACCTTTATAAGGTCAGCAGAGATGAAACTTTTCCGATTTTAATCGGAAAACCGACTTTTTGAATTTTCCAACGAAATTTCCGATTTTTTTACAGTGTGTCCCACAAAATTTGATTTTCTGATGATTTTTTCCACAAAATGTCATTTCATTTCAATCATAATTTCGAAGAAAAGTCGATGGAAATGGCGTGTTAAAATCATCACGAACGTAGTTTTAATCTCTTTCACCTGTCGTTATTGGAGAGTTTCAACGGTAGAAACACAGGGCATAACACTGATCGGAGCCTTCTCCGGCTTGACAAAAGGTTAAACATTGACAGGCAACATGGAAAAATCACTGTGTCGCACGTGCGTGCGAATATGCAAAGGTACAGCGTACGTACCGCACCACCGTACCGTCCGCGAGCACATGGCCGGCCGGGACGGGTAGCCTTGTGAAGGATCCTGTGGATAAAATCATTATGTTGTGCGATTTTCGGAGGTTTCAGATTGAGTTGTACAAAATGCAATGCTTTAAAAATCATGATGATCATCTCGAGGATAGCGAAGAGAGCATTAGCGAAACATTTCACTGGCATTTGTTGGAAGAGAAAGACGATAATGCCTGATTTTTCCCATGTATGAATGCAAGTGGTTGAATCATGGATATGATTGAAGCACCATGAACGGTGCCCTTTCGGACTTTTCCCTCGACTTTCTCAAGTAAGAAGTAAACTTCTTTATTGATGACTCCATTACTCTAACCGTAATTCAGGCGTTTTATGCAATAAAAACACTGACCGGTTTTTTTTTCATCGTAAAATTTTGTTTGAATCAAAAATAAAGCAGGAGTTGGTGTCCGGAAATTGGGCACGAAGTGTATGTATGCATGTATAAAGGCAGCGCGGCCCAGATTTCAGACACGTATTTTTGTTCGGCCTATTTTTCCGATTTTTTTGCCACATGCCAGTTTCATCTCTGGGTCAGGTGTTGAAAGCGGTTCTCAGTTGCAAAATAAAGGATTTTTTTCACACTGTTGAATGTTTATGCAGAAGTTGCACTGCAGTTGTGGCGTTTTGAAAGTTAACAAAACCGTAAATTTACTTTCTGCATACATTTCAGCAATTTGTAAAGAAAAGTTGAAGAATTAATTTGACCCAAAGTTTACCCATGTCAACAATATGGACCTGCAAATGTACCTCTTGTTACTGTATATTTCTGCTTCCTCATGCTAAAAAAAATGAACGGTTTCGCATCCTAAAAACCTACAAATGATTTATTTTTCTGCTCAGAAAACCTTTAAGAAAAACTAAAATTTAGTTATTTATAAGGGGTGAACCGTGAGGTCTGTTCAGGAGAAAACACAGTCAAAGTGATTTTTCTGTAGCAGACCATAGGTCAACAATCTGTAAATGATGACGAATTACATAGTGCATCAGTCCCCCCACTTTTGTTTTAAAGTTCAATCAGACATAGGGACCTTAACTCTAACTCCCTAGGCCTTTTTTGCTAGGATGTAGCCTCAATCCTGCAAAATCCTCCAATTGGCCTCATGGAAAAATAGCCTCAATCCTGCAAATTCCTCCGTTATTTCTTGAATATGGTCCATGGAGGGGTGACCACTGCCTGAATCCTGCAAAATCCTCCGGCTATGACTGTCAATAGGTTGAGGCAGAGGCAGTGACATCCTGGAGCAGTGCGGAGGATGTCAAGTACAAGGACTAAATTTATGCACGGCTAAGCATAAACAACACAAGGTCCGGCCCAAGACCTTGACACAGTGCATACTCCCAAATCAGCAACGCACTTTTACCATGTAACCTCAATCCTGCAAATTCCTCCAATTTGCAAAAAGGATTTTGGAGGATTCAGGGCGGTTAGGGTTAAACAGTAACACCTGATAAGGTTCCATTATTATCCTAACTACTTGAAGATATTACCTTTCACCATTGTTGGAATTACAGTATATGGTATACAAATGGAAGTGGCCCAAAACATCTTGACTTCATCTATAAAATAAGTTTGAGAAAAGATTTAGAGAGGATTAAAGTAACAGAAGTTGACAACATTTTGAAGTTGTGATGAGTTTATTCAATTTGGTTTGCATCAGTTGTATGCCTTTCTGAGATCAACCTGGTGTTGTCACTCATGGGGCATCACATTTAAAGTGAGAAACTGGACAACTGTATGTGGTGTTATGTAAACAGTAGGATTTGATTTAGCCATGCATAGCTTTTGTGTACGATCCATTTTTTTTTTAATTCTTGACTTACAGATCCACTCAGTTAGATTCTTGGACATGGCCCCAGCTACGAGCAATGCAAGTGGGTGGCAACACAAATGCAGTAAGTAACTAACTACATGCACTTGTCTGAGTTTAGAGGAGGCTTGAGGAGCAGAAATGTTTTCAACTCGTTCATTCTGTATAGAGGGCTCTCACTGAGCCATGTGACTCGGCCTACAAAATGTACATTCGGGTACCGGAAAGTCAGCGTCGCCATTGTATTAGGCAAAGATCGTTAAGTGCAGCACGTCTTATACCTCAGTTGACCTAACTTGGGTCTTGCTGCCCCACTTACGAGGCCAAATTAGATCTTAAGGGTTTTCTTAACCCTAACCCCCTGGTCGTTCCCAGGACTACCCTGCATGCCCTGCTCGATCCAACACAGTCCTACACAACCCAACTAGCCAAGTTGTTGGGTACCTGAATTTGTTAGTTTGTTAACCCTTTCCTTACCATGGGCGACTTTTGTCGACAAGAACTACCCCCCTGCTGGTTCCCATGGGCGACTTTAGTCGACCAGGAAACCACACACAAAGCACCCTCAACACAGACATATTCACTACTTTTCAGAAAGGCGACATGTTGATATGTTTGGCCGCCCATACATCAACTATATACCAGCTGAAAGAGTGTTTTCAGATCTTTCTTTTGGTGTGGTTTATTCATAGTGTTACCATTACAAAAAAAAATGAGAAAAGTGCTTCAGAAGTATCCACGCACAATTTGAGGTATGGAGTGCCATTTGGTCATGTGGTGAAATGGCTTGCAGTTTAATAATTGGGACCAGATGAACAAAAAGGCATAACTTTCTTATATGTGCACATATGGACCTCATTTTTACATCACATAAAAGAGTAAGGTTCAAGGAACAAACTTTACACACAACACCTATGATTTTAATCACTCCTTGGCAGTGAAAATCTGGGTTGAAAAAAGTGAGTTTTGGACTTGTGGTCATTTTGTTCACGCTCTAGTGATTTCCGCATGACTGAGCAAACAATTTGGTCCTGGGGAGAGTCAAGTCAATAAACAATGTGGGCATGAACGGATTAATCAAGACATCAATGCTAAATTCAAAAGTATAAAATTTGAAAAAGTATAAAGTAAGTAAAGTCAGTCAGTGTCAGGAGCCAATGTGGTGTTTATCTCCGGTTTCAGTAGCATAAAACGACAGAGAATATTTCTATTGCCCCATGATGGGATAATAGTATATCGCAGGTTACCCTAACAACGACCCAAAGAGGCCGACCCGTCAATTGAGGGGTTAACTAATTAATCAAAAATACATGGATTTTGATCACAAAATAAGACGAATAGGAATAAGTATATGCAATATCAGAAAATTGAAGCAATTGAAATTTAATTAGCTCTTCTTCGCTTACAAAATAATAAACCAGTGGAGAGCATGCAAATATGAACAATATAATTTAAATGACTAGTTACCATTACTGACAGAGCTAAGAATTCAGACGAGGGACCACTACGATGGGACACCGTAGTCTAATAGTTACCCTCATAAATGTGGCCAATTTACTGGACTACCTCTGTAAATAAAGGCCACACTTCCACCATGTACAAAAACATGTTGAACATTGTCAAATTTTGATTTTCACATTTAGGCTTAGTTTGTAGTTTATTTTTGCTTTAGAAGCATACTCACCATCTCTAAAGGCTAATCAGAAAGTGCTGCCTTTTTCAGATGTCTATTTTTCGTGAAATTTCCAGATTCGTTTGCACACGTTTGCGTATCAAAATTTCAACATGAAATTTCACGAAAATTAGACATCTGAAAAAGGCAGCACTCTCTGATTAGCCTATAAAGAGGGTGAGTATGCTTCTAAAACAAAAATAAACTACAAACTAAGCCTAAATGTGAAAATCAAAATTTGACAAAGTTCGACATGTTTTTGTACATGGTGGAAGTGTGGCCTTTATTTGTGGAGGTAGTCCAGTAAATTGGCCACATTTATGGGGCTATCTAATAGTATATAGGCAATTTAAAAACTACTGGGTGTAAAATGGGAGGGGTGGGGGGTTATAATTGGAACATACTCACAAGACTATGCAAACCACTGAACACTTTGGTGTGAAGCAATGGTGGTAGTGTTGGTGCAAAGTAAAGTTCATAGTGTGTTGCACATAAACAAGGCCAAACTAACTAAACTAGGCTTCCTGCTTCAGCCGTACATGTACAGGGACTTAGAAACTAGGGAACTAAAATGCACACCACCATCCACCACCATGCCCCAGTCACGAGTCCACGCCCTACTGGCTTGCAGAGTGCTGGGTCAAATGCCTTTATTTCAAGATGAGGAATACTAATGCAGTGTGTCTTTCTTATTTGGAGATATTTGCATAAACACTAGAGGTATGGAGGCAAGGAACTTTTATCCCTAGCACTGTGAGATAGACCAATAAAGACTACAATGAGAGCTCCATCTGTGGTTTGACTGCAACCCAAATGCTGTCTATTGTGGTTTAAACTAAAGTACATGTAGATTAAGTTGAAAAAAAGTAACAGTAATCTCTGAAATAGTTTTGTATCATGAATCTGACCTAAGATTCTACTTTGGATTAGGCCACAAAAAAAAAGTCTCCGGTTTCTGGTATGCGCGTGCGTCGTCGTAGACATGCGCGTCGGCAAAATGAAAAAGTTTTTTTTTCAATGAAAGATGATTTCTCAAAACCGCCAAACTCACTGGTTTGACTGGAATCCTGCTGCTGCACAATATTAACGTGTTTTAATAAGGGGTTATGATTGAGAATAAGCTTTATGTGGCCTCTCTGGACTCCCATATATTTGTACTAAGTTTAGTCGGGCACCATTTGCAGTCATCAGCCGGCATTTGAAGCAAAAAAAAACAGGTAAAAAAAAAAGCCGCGTCGCCGCACCACTTCTTGGACAAGCTCCATACCAGAAACCGGAGACTTTTTTTTTTGGCCTTACTGTGGCCAAAGCACTCCCTTTAATAGTTTAAAGGTGCAATTGGAACAATAATTACTCTTTAGCTAATTTGTACTCCTGGGTGGAGAGAGGCAAGTGGGGATGCAGTGGCTTGCCCAAGGACACAACATATGGCCAGCAGCTGGATTTGAACCCCTGACCCTCTGATCATGAGTCACAAACCCTATTCCACTGGGCCAGACTCCCCCACAGAGTCCTTTGATCCACACATTTATTCCCCCATTCATTTTTCAGACTGTGTTCTTCAGACAGCATGGCACATCCACCGCAGATGCCAACAAGAAGTACAACAGCAGAGCGGCCCAGCTGTACAGAGAAAAGATCAAATCGCTAGCGGCTGCCGCTATGAGGAAGTATGGCACTGAGGTAAAAAGAAAAAAATTGATATCCGATGTCTGATTGAAATCAGGATCAAAATCGAGACATGAATTTTGAAACTTATTGTTTGTTCCGCTGTTAAACCTACATTTCCAAACTTTTTTTTTCTCGAGATTTTCCTGATTAAAAAAACACAAGCTTGTCCCTGCTTACTCACACATTGAGATTTTAATAGTTCATGGTAGTGGACAGCAGTGGTGGTGTGCATTTACAAGTAGTATGGGAACTGAGTACCCAATTGATGTAAAACCCGTAAAAGCCGTGTCCTGAAAGTTGCTGTTCAGATTGTTCATAAAGGTGGGCGCGATGACAGTACCACATTGGTGCATCAATGTAGAAAAATACAAGTGTGTACAGTGCGGGCTTAAGGATTTGCAACTTTAAGATGCACACAAACATAAAATCAATGTTTTTCCATAAAGCTGTTCTTTATTTTGAATATTCCCCACAGATGGCATTCAAAACCTTACTTGTTCATTGTGTGAGAGGTTACTAAGTAATTTGTAAAGTTGGTTACGGGTACCCGATCCCATAGTCTGGAACCGGTTCCTGACATCAGTGGTCAGGTACACATGTACCCGGTTCTGATGCACACCACTATACAACTGGCAGTCAAAAATATGTTTTTCTGTCAATATTCTGTCAAAATGTCTGCAGTGATTTGGGTTTTATTATTTTGGCGGATGTGGTTTAGGAGAATGTTCTCTTTCTGTTTTAAGTTTTACTTGAAAGATCTAAGTACTTTTTTTATTATTTTACTTACCAATCATTGTTTCAGAATCATTTGTTTTGAAATGTGTGATCCTGAAATAAAACCAAACACTGATTCGTCTTTGTATTGAAGACCCTTCACATCGGCGATCTACATGTAAGCTCGCCAGACCAGAAGGAAGTAGACTTCTTCAAGGAGCACACAGGGGAGCATAAGGACTTCGTGCCGACCACAAACCTTCCCCAGCAGCAAGGCATGAACCTACATGTAAGCTCCTCCCCTCCAGTGGCAGAGGTTAAACTTGAACCGGTGCCCATAAAGAACGGGCAGGACACACCAAATGAAGAAGGTGAAAAACATTCTTATTCTTGAGGCCTCAGTAAACTTCACGCAATGTAAATGAAAAGCAGTTTTGATGTAACGATAAGTTATCAGCAAATATTCGCTGTGGCATCACAGATTGAATTCATGTTGACTTTAGTTCTGATTGTGAAACAGCTTTAGGACAATGTTACCCATTGCTGTGGCTATTCACCAGAGCGTGTTAATGAAAAAAAAAAAAACAGTCGTAGCCTAGAAATACCTGATTCAGACATGGCCTTGGTTTTCTTTTCTTCTTTCTAATTCTCCACTTATAATAAATGCACATTGTACAAATATGTAAGTATTTACAGTAAACTCTTGTTAAGTCAAATTCAGATAACTCGAAACTCTGTTTATCTCGTAGTAATACTCCATTCCTTTCAAGAGAATAGGATATTATATACATGAAAACCCTGTAACTCTAAAAAGGAAAGTGTGTAAATATACAATGAAATATTTCGTCCGCCCGATATTTTGCCACAATTTTCAGGAGACACCAGAGAGCCCAGCGTAGACCATGTGTTAGGCACCTCTCCGTCCCAGTCAGTGGCTAAGGCAGAACCGAGGAAGTCCACCATTGGCCAACGCAAGCCGATGGGTGCAAAGAAAGGGGTAAGGCATCCGTCTTGTAGATGATTCCTCCAAGTCCCATGGACAAATGTTGATTTACTGAGAACTTCAAAAAAAATATGTTGTGGACCACCAGATGGCTCTGGCTTGCAAGAATGAATCCTCCTATTGTTTGATCAGTCACAGACAGTCAATGTTTTTTTTTTCCACTTCCCCTGCCATGCATTTATATACAGACTAGTAAAAAAAAAAACAGTCATATCACATTTGCGTAAACACTGTGACTAGTCCAATTCCATCAACAGACAAAAGAGGTAACTGGTAGGTACAGATGACATATCAATCACCTCCAGTCAAATCATGGCCATATCAAATTAACAAGGGAATCGTTAATAGTTAAAACAGTCACTTGATTGATTTTGACTGCTGTGGTGGCATAGCTGTGAATTTGTCAGCCATAGATGGGGAGGATACAGATATTGGCATAAGGACTCAAAGTTGGAGTGAGTTGAATAAACAATTTCTGGAAGTCATTCCCATTTAAATGTGACGGTTAAATAGAAATTGTGTTTCATCACTCGGCGAAGATCAGTTTTCTCTCGACAAATGGAACAATATTCTGTTGACAAAGATTTGATTTGTGATACACTTGAACAAAATAAGTGCAGGAAGGCCGGTAAGTGAGATCTTTAGAACATCCTAATTTAAGCAAATATTTGACATTGGTGACTTTGTCACATCTCCCTTTTCATGTAAATCCGTTGGCTGTCTTCAAGTTTCACAATTTTGTCGGATAGACAGTTTGGCATTCATTTATGTAAAAATGTGGAAAGCATTTTATGGAAATGTTTGGATCCTTTATGTCCACAGCTCGGGGCCAAAAAGGGCAAGCTGGGAGCCCAGAAGGTGACGACAAACTTTGCCGACATCGAGTCCGCTGCTCACCAGGCAGACTTGATGAAGCAGGAGACAGTAGTCAAACACAAGAAGACCAAGGAGGAGGAGGAGGCAAATAAGTGAGTTTAGCTCATCTCCAGATGGTAAAAGGTTATCTCAAAGTGATGAGGGGTCATCTTGAGGTGATGAGAGCTCATCTCGAGTTTAGAAAAGGTCATTTCAAGATGAGGAGGGGACATCTCAATGTGGCGAGAAGTCATATCAAAATTATGAGAGGTCAACTCGAGAAGATAAGAGGTCATTTTGAAAAGATGAAAGGCCAACTCATAGTGATTAGAGGTCATCTCCCGAGAGCTTGACTTTAATGAGCAGTTTATCACAAGATGATGATAGATCATCTTAAGATTATGACAGGTCATCTTGAGTTAATGATAGCTCATCTCAAGACAATGAGGGGTCATCTTGAAAAACATGAAGGGTCATCACACAGTGATGAGAGGTCATCTTCCAGATGATTACAGGTCATCTAAAGATGATTAGAGATTATTTCATGATGGTGAAAGTCTTCTCAAGATGAGAGGTCATCTCTAGATGTTGATATTGCCTAAAGAAGAGTAGTCCAAAGATGAGGGGCCGTCACAAGACAATGATAGATTATCTTAAGATTATGAGCAGTCATCTTGTGCTGTTGAGATGATCATCTTAAGATATAAAAGAAATAATCTCAAGATATTGGAAAAACATATCAATATATTAGAGAGCATCTTAAGATGATGAGATGTTATCTTGAGATGAAGAGAGATTGTCTGTTAGATTTTCTGTTTATTTTGTGTATCAGTGTACGTGCGAGAAAAGGAATCTCTGAAGAGCAACCTGACCCCAAATTTAATGTTTTGGGTGCAGAACTGTTTTGGAGTGACAGGGTATTTAAAGTAAAGTAATTGTAGCTGTTGAGGTATTTCAAACAACAATTTTGAGCTCACGATGTGATTTTTTTGTTTTCCCCCCAGGGCCTCCATGCGCCTTGCCTACCAAGACATGACAGTTGAACTCAAGAAGCAAGAGGAACGGATGAAGACTGCAGACCCCAAGAAAGCCCAGCAGATGGAGAGACTAGGAATGGGTTTTGGTGGCCGGAGGTGAGTCTAACCTTAACCAAAAATTGGGACTGATTTATTAAAATCAGTTGCTATTGTCACTTATTTTTATGCACATTTAAATTTTGGAAACTTTGAATTATCCCTTACCCTACTTGACCCTCCAACGCATGCCAATTGTGCCTCAAGAAAATCTCCTATGTTTTTTGCATGGCCCTCCAATATCTGCCATGTCATTTCAAGGGTAACTGGACAGGCACTCCAATACATGCCACAGAGAACAATGAGAGTCCTCTGATAACAAAGTGAGTGCCCCCAGCTGGTCAGTATCAGGCACCCTCCAGGGCCTCCAACTCCTGCCAATTGGAGCCTTCACTGTTAAGACTTGTTATCTGCCAAATAACTGCAGCTGGAGGGCATTGGCATAACCAACTGACATGCAGTAAACTACCCTCAGAGAGTAAGGGTTAAGAAATATTAATAGGACTGTTTGTCATGTATTTTGTCATATTTGTGTAGTAAATGAAGAGTGCCAAAGTGTCCTTGTCTTTTTGAGGTTAACTTACTTCGGCTTGACATCTGGGCCCAATTTCAAGGCAGTGCTAAGCACACAAGTCCGTGCGTACGATCACCATTCGGTGCTAACAGCACCAGCAGAAAAAAATTGTGCTAACCCTGTAAGCACAGAGTTCTTAGTTACAGGATGTGCGCATGCGCAGAAGCCTGTGAAAACCCGTGAAAAACGCTTACCGTAAGCGCAGAATCTTCTGCTACAGTAAGTAGGGATTTTTCGCTAACGGTAAGCAGAGACTTGACATTGGGCCCTGATTTGTTTTCTGTTTTCACCTGTAGTGCTATTTCCCACTCGGCCATGAGCGATATGCAAACCATCAAACAGGAGAAACCATCGACAGCCAAGTCGCAGAGATCGTCTAGCAGAGACTTCTTTGATGAGTACGATGACAGCCGATCCTCTGGCTACGCGTCCAGGTAGGAACACTAAAGGGCGATATGCCACCATTCATATGGATGCTCAACCATTGTTCTCTCGGTTTTTATCCCCCGGGCTTTCAAGCCAGGTGGGGGATATTGCGATCGCGTATTCTTTCTGTGTGTCGGTGTGCGTGAGTTTGTTTCTGCATTCAAGAGGGGACGTTAAACAATAGGACAGCAGGGTCCCCAATTCCCGAGAGGTCCCCAGTTCCTGAGAAGTCGCCAATTTCGATTCATGTACAAAACATATGGGAGGTCTTCCTAAAGAGTTAAATTACAAACAAAAGAGGGACAATAGGGGGTCCCCGATTGCAGGCAAATACACACTTGTGTAGGTGTGCGTGTGTTCCATTTCACTGTAAAGTTCAGTCATCAATCTCGACCACGCAAAAGGAGGTCTGTGGAGAGCAGGACGATGTCAAAAAAATCCTTTCCAATATGGATATTTACGAGGTCTCTGGAGAGCTCAGCTCACTATTTCTAATGGCTCTAACATATGATAGTCCAGTGTCTCAGCCAAACTCTCCATTCAACCCCAAACTCCCCATGGTGGACCATCAAGGCCTTTACTGAAAATTGTTCTCACTAACATGACTAACTGTCTGTACACGTATATGTATACAAACTGCCAGGATGCCAGGGTGATCGTGCAAGTTTTTCCTGCAGTATTTCTTTTTTTTTATGAAACAGGAACAAAGATGACATTTTCAGCAGTCGTAAAGTCAGAGATGATGACAATGATAAAGACGACTGGGACATACTGGACAAGCCCAAAGAAACAGATAATTACGAAAGTATCAAGCCTCTTGCAGACCGGTGAGTCAATATGTCAGTATGCACCATTGTCAATGTTGCTAGTATCGAGACTTTGGGCGTGATCCCTGGCCATATTACATATAATGGGTTTATGGCTTCTGGGACGAATAATTCAATGACATGTGATCAACGACCCACAAATCAGATGATGGGGATTTATTCAGGCGTTGTATAATGTCTGAAAACATCCCCAGTGAATATTATTATAAGCGTGTACATATGACTTTAGTTAAGTAATTAACGGATTAGTCCCCGTACCACCCGATAGTGCCGTGCCTGTTACTCCTTATACCGTCCCAGCACTCTTAATGTTTTATGTGTTCATCGAGGAGTATATGGGCTCCCTGCACCAATGAAAGAGGGCGTCCTTTTACCTAGCAATGATGTCCCGTGGGCGGGACATTTAGCTGGTTGACGCGCACTGTTCCTTGTGTGTGACGCACATACACCAGGGGATTTGTACACGCAGTGCTAGTGGTACGGCCGCGCGTCGCAGCAAAATGCAGTCAGGCAAGATGGTGTCGGTCGGTCACCCCCAACTGTACTTTCTTTGCCGGTGAGGGGGTACTTGTGAACGGAGCGGATATGGGGTAGTACAATGTAATACAAGTTCTAATGGGTTAAAAACTATAAAAATTATGAGTGAAGTTGAAAATGCTATTTTCTCGTCTCGTTGGAGTTGGTCTTAAACACATCTCTTCCCTTTTCCATTAGGATGTCGTTGGGAAAGAAGAAGCAATACGAAGCTGTCTCCAGCTCCACCGAAGCTCAGAAGAGGTTTGCAAATGCCAAGTCCATCTCTTCGGATAACTACTTTGGAAATACAGAGACGGACGTGAGTATCTCATTGTCATCGAGTTGTGCAGAAGATTTGAGATTGAATTTCTTAAAGATTTCAGCTGTAATGCCATATTCAGAATTTTTTGCCTTCGAAAAAATACATATTTTTAAGTTTAATAAAAACGGTTTTGACTGTACATTGCGTGTTTTGTAATATTCATGTTTGGTTAGAACATCACTATGTGGAAAAACTGGAAATAGGTATGCTGTAATGTATTTTATTTGCAGATAATTGATGTCAAATGTATGAGTTTAAGCTTTGTGAAATGTTTTGGTCACTGCGTATCTCACTATGTCAGCATTAACATTCCATGCGATGACTAGTGGCAAAAACGTGTGAATGATTTTGGAGGATGCACTGAGTCAAGGTCTTGGGCCGGACCTTGTGTTGTTTATGCTCGGCCGTGCATAAATTGAGGCCGATATTATACTTGAAATCCTCCGCAATGCTCAAGGATGTCACTGGCTCTGCCTCAGCCTATTGACAGTGATTGCCGGAGGATTTTGCAGGATTGAGGCAGTGGTCACCCCTCCAAGGACAACATCCAAGAAATTACGGAGGATTTTGAAGGATTGAGGCTGTATGCAATTTTGACATGGAGGCAGTTGGAGGATTTTGCAGGATTTAGGTTGCATCCTAGCAAAAATGCCTAGGGAGTTAGGGTCAAACAAGGTCTCCAAGTGTATCGCTTACAGTGTTTTTTGAGTGTGTACCGTCTATAGATGCAAATTTTGAATGCTTGTCCAGAGGGAGAAATTGTAGTCGTGATAGTCCGACATTCACTTACCATTTGCCATATAAACATAAACGTCTCCACTTAAGTCAGAGTTTGCACTTGTAGTGAACTGTGAAAGCCCAAAATTGATTGTGCCAGTCATTTTTGTATGTACAAGTTTTGGTTCCCGATGTCACCCTGTGGCTGTCTCTGTTCTCAATTCAAACTAGGCGGCCACTAAATCCAACCTGGACCGTTTCACGGGCAAGAGCAGTATATCCAGCTCGGACTTCTATGGAGACCAATCGACCTCGGACGGCTCCTACGCATCGGGACCTGACATGGCCGCCATCAAGGACGGAATGAAGGACAGCGTGACCCAGGTGGCAGGAAGGTTATCCCGGATGGCCAACGGCCTCATGAGCTCGATACAGGTAAGGCACTTGTTCACAAGAATTGAAGTGTTTATTTTCCCCAAAAAACGTGATAAACGCCATTTTATTACCTTTCAGAATCCCGTCTCTCCTTGTTGCCCCAACAGCTTTGATGGTTGCAGTATAGTTAAACACAATTATAATAAAGTGAAAATGTAGTTAGGAAACAGCTGCTATGCAGGGTGAGTAAAAAAAAAGTTGAAAGCCAAATGCCGGGACCGTTGTTTTAGTGAAATTTCAAAATCTAGGATATGAAAGCCCAATTCATGAGAGCTTTCTTTGAGTAAAAGAATCATTCAAATCACTCATGTACTTTTCGGATTGCAGAATTTTAAACACAACCACCGTTTTAAAATTCTGTCCACGGATCACAAAAAAGTTCAGTGTTCTTTCAGCAAAACAAAAACAAATCATGTAGTTGTGTTTAATGTTCCATAACTTGAAAAGTACGTAAGTGATTTGAACAGTTCTTGTACTACAAGAAAGCTTATGAATTGGGCTTTCAAATCCTAGATTACGAAAGTGCTATATGCAGAACTTCACTAAAACAATAGTCCTGACATTTGGGTTTCGTTCTTTTCAACTCACCCTGTAAAGTGGAAAAGTAGTAAGGAAACAGCCTCTATATATTTTTTTTTAACTCTATAATGTTTGATAGCAATGCATGTTTTTCCCTTTTTTTCAAAATGGATATATCGTGTTATGGAAATAAACTCTTCAATAGTTAATGAGCCCATCTGCAGCAAATTACAGATCAAATTGTAGGTGACATGGTAATGAAAAAAATGACAGCAGGCTGCGTCCGTCATAGTTCACTCGAATAGGTTGTCATTGCCTGGAAACTAGCAACTTGTGATTGTTTGGTGGTTGACTTGTGGCTAACTTAAAGACGATTTGTGAGGAGTCATGATGACTTGTGAAGACTGTGTTTCGTCACGAACACGAAAAACCTTTTTGATAAAAACTGAACAATTAGGCAAGCCCAGTTCCTTAAGAGTGTTCCAAGTTTAATTGCCTGCTGATCTGATTTTGGAATGGTTGCCACTGCGTAAGGGCAATTCCACTTTTACTCACGTTACATTTTCATAACGTGAGTATTGCCAATTTTGTGCGTCTTGTTTATCATAAATAACACATTTTTCTGGATGTCATCTTTGGTGCTTAGGTAGGTCTAGGTCTACTCTATCTACCATGGGGATAACAGTTATTAAACCTTTTCAGTAAGGTAATTACAGCCCAAGGAAACTCAAAAGTACATCAAAAATGTAACGTGAGTAACCGTGGAATTGCCCATAGACTAATCCGTTCGTGGTATCATTTCTATCACGAAGGACCCCTCCAAATGGTAAAGTGCTAGCTAGTGTTCAGAGAATCCGTCATTGGCCAGTTGCTTTGTACAATGGCGTACACAATAGTTTCTCCATCGAGTGTACAGTGATGATGTGGCCAGATTCGTCAATCAATGATTTGATTATTTTTATTTTGTCTTTGCAGGATAAATACGGTTACTAGCCTAGTGTGCGGAAACCTTTCGTCAACTCTACTGGTAAGACAGAAAAAAGGGTATTTAACAAGAAACATGGAACTGTCAAAACTTAAAAGATATATCTCCGGGCGGCATTTGGTTGCTGAAGACAACCGTTTGCTTCTACCGACATTAAGTTAGGGAAATACATATCAAACAATTGTGTTGGACATCAAAAGCTGTTGTTTTGTAATCAAGGACTTGGCTGACTGATGCATTTCTGTAATTTCGAGGTGAAAAAAAACCATAAGGATCCTTAAAACCTTTTTTTTTTAATGTTCTTTATTTGACCTTAACTTTGTCTTGTGAATTTTTTTGTTCTTTCTATCAATGCTTTAAAGCTATAGTCCATCATTTGTAATTAGTGCATTTTGTTCGTTTGAAGCAACAAAAGTGTTCAAAATCTAATGAAGGATACTGAGCAACTAACCTGATGAAGTTTCAGCTAAGCTTCAGCTGTACATTCCGAGAAAAGCAGCATTCTAAGATCTCAATTTCAAATCAAAATTTACTGAATCATGTTTTGAATTGTTTTGAATTGCAGCTATACGCGGCGTCGCGCACTGATCCGACGAATTATAACAACCGCGCGCGCGTGTGCGTCGTTCGAATACTTGTGCGCGCTGCGCTGAATAACAAAACGAACTACTAATTTAAATTTTCCTACGGTGCTTCTTAAGAATCACCGTTGGAAATGCCTTCTTTCGTTGATTACTTCAAAATGACAGCTTCCCAGAAAGAATAATTTCACAGGGAGTTTAGTTCCCTTACTATCTTTCAACCAAGTTTGTTTTTCAACAGTAATTACGCCAGTTACTTTTCGGATGGCTGCAAATGATGGACTATAGCTTTAAAGATGCACCGGTCATAAAGTCAAGACAATGCAGTTGTATTGCGAGGCTATTATTTTGTATTTCAATAATGATGGGGACTCATTTACTCAGTCGTTCACAGATTTGTTAATCTCACACATACAATGTAGGTACTCCATAGCCCTGCTAAGGCCCATCTCCAATCACTTCCGAGACGAGTTCTAGACAAGGTTGCGGGTAGAATCATTCACTTTGTCCGGAAGAAGCTCTGCACCCTACTGTCCCAAGGGCTCTTTGGGGGTCAAGTGCCAAATGCCACAGAATACTGCATGTGTTGTGCACACTTCTACGGAAAGAAATGCATACTACAGGTTACTACCGAGTAGTATTTTGTAGCTTTAGGTGATTAGGGTTAATAATTGCCCAGACATGTTCCAGGGAAATTCCCATTAGCAACTGCTTGACTCATTAATACTGATAACTTTGTTGCGGGAATATTGCATGGAAGCTGTTCAGAATCCTGCAACTTATACCCGATACAATGTCCGCAAATTGTCCGGAACTCGTCCTGGATATAAATTTAGACAATGGCCTTATGACAGTCTGCAGTGGGTCACTGCAGTGATGTGGGGATTACTTATGGAATCAATCCTGCATGGCTGCTTTTGCATACTCTGGAAGCTATGTACTCCCAGAGTGCGCCATTCCACTCAGTGAAGATGTTTTTATCAGCGTTAGACAAAATCCTCCAAATGTGTGTATCCTTCAGCTGGACTGCCATAAAGGCCACTCAAATAACATACAGCTCAAATTCTTCCATTATTTGGGATAATTTAAAAAAAATTCTTTAATGGTAAGTTTTTGGATCAGGACATTGAGATTCATAGACTTGCAAATCAGTCCTTCTATGGAAGCTTGACAATTTCTGGCTGTATTTTTTTTTTTTTTACGGGGAAAAATCTGGAATTTTTAAATAGCTTTTCTTGGCTTAAAAAATGAGAAGTGTTTCCAATTGTTTAAATAGGTCACACTGTAATTCCACCAATTAATTTAACTGTATTTCATTTTCTTTACAACGCCGATATTTCAAATGTATATTATGAAGGATATGCTATTTTGTTTTTTGCATCGCAGTGTAATTTAATAGTGCATGCCTTCTGCTGCAAAAATGCCTCATTGCACATCAACTTTTTGGGGAAAGGGGTTAGACATTTTGGTTTTAAAATTTCATTGTTTAAGATTGGATAAAAATGTTATAATTTTTTTTTGCTGGACAAGAAAATGTTCAACGTATCAAGTCCTCAAGGACAAACATTTTGTTATAGAAATGTAAAAATACTTCTTTGATAGAAATTATTTTTTGCCATGAAAGAGAAAAACAAAAAGGAAAATGTTTAAAAAAAGTACAACTAAATTCATGGTCTCCTATTATACTGATAATTTTCTGTTAAAATATATTGCTTTGTAAAATAATGCGTAGATATAACCCCCATATGTAAAAAAAAATAATTGGGTTTTGAATTAACATAATTTTGGAAACCAAAACTTGATTGTCAGTGGGAACAGATATAAAACAAGCGCATGTCTAATATTTTGGGATATACATGTATACACGAGTCTCGACCGCCAAATCTACTAACATGTTAATCTACATGTACTGTACATGTACCTGTACATGTATATGTACAGCTACATGAAATGTTACCAGGATTTTGGTAGGTTCTGAACTGAAGAGCTACCCATTACGTGTTCATCACATGGACATGCAATTTTGTTTTGGTAAACTACTTTTTCAGATTTAATGGTGGATTCAGGCGGTTTCCAGAAAAAAAGAAGTCAAGTTTTGTTCACTCTTTTGTTTTGATTTTAACATCTTGTGTAGAATTAAGTGATAATTGTCTTGAGTTCATGCCATCAAAATATAAAATTAAATTAGTGTAAAAAAATGTACATGTTTCTGAAAGATCTATGAGAAGACTTTATTAAGGTGAAGGGTTTCCTTTTTTTTTCTTTTTTTTAAATAAATGCTATTTTGCCACGGTTTAATCCTGAATTGTTCAAATAAGCATGCTGTAATTGAGAGTGTGCTGATGGTTATATGGCAATGGAGTATGGTCGACTCTTCAACCACAAATAAGAAAAGAATGGGTTTTAGGGGTTGTAACAGGTAGATTTAATTGCAGGGTAAGAGATGACTTGACTGTGTAAAGGGCCGGTTTTGATGGGGGAGTTCCGAAGAACTCTTTTAAATGTGAAGTGGTCTTTTTCCTGTAGTTTTTATTGATAAATATTTCTGGGAGTCCTTAATCCTGGGTAGTTTGCATCGTACATTGATCATGGTGCATGTGCGTTGAAATTTGAAATGTGCTTTGAAAGGTTAAGTTTATTGCATTTTGCTTTCAATTAATTTCTGTTTGCATGTAGCATGTTAATTTGTTTAGATTGTAAAAGATGTCTTGTTTTTATTGTGTGCATCCATTCTTTATTTCCCCCCGCTGGATTGAATGACCTTTAAAATAGAATTTTCAAACATATTTCTTCCAGTGTAGTGTGGAATTACAATAAAAGAGATTTTAATCAATTTACTCAACCCAAGTCTATATATTCAAAGTAACTTAAGGATTTAAGCTGAAGGATTTTCAATAAACATTCTATCATACAAAATATTTTCAGTTTTTGTCAAATCATTTCTTCACTAGTTCTCGTTGATAAGTGTTTGGGGTGCATTGTTTTGGCTGAAAAGGCAATAAAGTGCGTCATGGTACATCTAGCGTGTAATTGTGAGGAAAGATGAGCAGTTTTAACCCTCAAGAGAGTTCCAGGCCAAGTGATACATCTGGGCTTTTCGTCTAATCTGTAAATGTAATATTCAAATTTGCAATGAAACACTTCATGTAAACTGGAACAAACGGGACAAAGGGGGAAAAATATTGCTGTATCACTTACCAATCTTCCTGTGTAATTATAAATAACATTTTTGGGGGAAATTGAAAATCAAACAAAATTTCATTGGATAGCTTTTGCCTATCTCTTGATGGGTGTTTGAGTATTGATTGGTGCTCCTCTGACTTCCAAAGGAGGTTCTGCATTGTTTTGAGAAGAGTCAATTTTTGGCCAAATTTTGATAAAAATGTAAGGCATACCCCTTGCCTTTTTTTCAATTTTGACCAAAAAATGAAATTCCCTGAAACTTGCTAGAAAGATGCCTAAGAGACCCTAGAACACATTCCAACTCCATTTGTAGAAAGATTTGCTTATCAAAAGAAAATATGGAACAACATATAGTGAAAAATCAGTCCAAAATGGTTATTTATTTCTCACAAAATCGATGGTTTTTGCCCAAATCTTCAAGATATTGTGTTTGAGTATTGATTGGTGCTCCTCTGACTTCCAAAGGAAGTTCTGCATTGTTTGAGAAAAGTCAATTTTTGGTCAAATTTTGAAAAAAAATTTAAGGCTAACCCCTTGCCTTTTTTACAATTTTGACCAAAAAATGAAATTCCTTGAAACTTGCTAGAAAGATGCCCAAGGGACCCTAGAACTCATTCCAACTCCATTTGCAGCTAGGTTTGCCTTTTAAAAGAAAATATGGACCAAAATATGGTGAAAAATCAGTCACAAATGTTAATTTATTTCTCACAAAATCGATGGTTTTTTGCCCAAATCTTCAAGATATTGGATGTTTGAGTACTGATTGGTGCTCCTCTTACTTCCAAAGGAAGTTCTGCATTGTTTTGAGAAGAGTCAATTTTTGGCCAAATTTTGATAAAAATGAAAGGCTAACCCCTTGCCTTTTTTTTCAATTTTGACCAAAAAATGAAATCCCTTGAAACTTGCTAGAAAGATGCCTAAGGGACTCTAGAACACATTCCAACTCCATTTACAGCTAGATTTGCTTTTCAAAAGAAAATATGGACCAAAATATGGGGTAAAATCAGTCACAAATATTAAATTATTTCTTACAAAATCGATGGTTTTTGCCCAAATCTTTAAAATAATGGGTGTTTGAGTATTGATTGGTGCTCCTCTGACTTCGAAAGGATGTTTTGCATTGTTTTGAGAAAAGTCAATTTTTGGCCAAATTTTGATAAAAATGTAAGGCTAACCCCTTGCCTTTTTTTCAATTTTGACCAAAAATTGAATTCCTTGAAACTTGCTAGAAAGATGCCTAAGGGACCCTAGAACACATTTCAACTCCATTTCTAGAAAGATTTGCTTTTCAAAAGAAAATATGGAACAACATATAGTGAAAAATCAGTCCAAAATGGTAATTTATTTCTCACAAAATCGATGGTTTTTGCCCAAATTTTCATGATATTGTGTTTGAGTATTGATTGGGGCTACTCTAACTTCCAAAGGAAGTTCTGCATTGTTTTGAGAAAAGTCAATTTTTGGCCAAATTTTGATAAAAATGTAAGGCTAACCCCTTGCC